CCCAATTTTTTTTTTGGAACGGACTGCCCATGCTAACCATTCTGGTCCTGATAACTATGTTTCTAACTATACATACACTATGTGGACCTCATAAAAAATTTGATATATGTTTGGGAGTGGGTTGTTATGGGAAAATGTAAAAGAGGAAAATGGAAAGAAAGGAAAAACGAAATTCAAGAAAGGAAAATAATGTAAAAGAGGTAAAACATACAAGAAATGATGTTTTTAATCTTTTATAGCTGCTGCTACTCTGACAATTATTATTTTTTTTGCCATCTTTTATTTTTTACAGTGAGCTGTTACACAATCATCATTAATTTAAAAGGAAACCTTTATATGTGGCGCCACCCCATATGTGGCTATCATTCGTAATCCAACTGATTTAAACAAATGATTGGGATAGCTTCAATCAGAATATCATGCCTACCACACTTTTATTTTTTATTTTCTATAAATCATCTTGTCATGAAATTTGGGATATGTAGACGTGCATCTAAAAGAATAGGGAACATTACTATTGATAAACTAAGATAACTAAAATATGCCTGAAAGTTACATGGCTATTTTGATCATTTATTTTTCTCAAACATATTCCTTTCTTGTTTGTATTAGATGTTCCCCAATTATAAGTGATCATATTTGATAGTCTATGTCCAAATGATTTAAAAAATAAAAAATAAAAATAAAATGGTCTGAGTCATATAGTGAGGATTGGATGGTTAGAGGCTAAATTGTGATATTGTGACTAAAGCTATCCTAGCCATCGACTCATTTCGAATGATAAGAAATAATATTCATATAAATCTTATATGTGGGTAACTCGACATTACATATTCTCCAATTTAAATATGGAAAATATCATGGGGTCATAACTCCTAGCAAAATTATTAAAGGTTTTAAAACACTCAAAATAACATTAGAGGGTTTATTTCTTAAATTTTATTTCACTAAAGTAACCCCTCAAAAAATATCCTCAAAAATTTCTAAATTGCTCTCATTCAAAGTTAGGAAATCTGAACAAGCAAGGATATTTTAGCATTTTGATTTACTTAAAGAGTACCACAAAATGATTTGAGAACCTTATTTGTACGTAGTGGGTGAAATTACTGAAATGCCACTATATGTTAGGGTTCCAACCCTGAACAAGAATAGTTTACATATTATTGAAACTATTTTTTATGGAGGTACTTAAGTGAAATAAAAATAAACCATCTAATATTAATTGGGACTTTTGAGAAATTTTATAAAAGTAACCTCCAACTACTATAAGTGCATGCCATAACAATGAATTCTTCTTTTCACAATGGCTGACATTATGAATTATGATTATGAAATAATGCTTTAATGCATTTGTTGGCTATCTACTATTTTTTATATGCAACCAAAACCGAGTCAAAATAAATTGATCGAAAGGGATTCAAACTTTTACCTCAATAAGAAGCCGCATCTTGAAATTTTGAGATTATGGCTCTGAGGCAGCCTACCCGGAAAAAACTACACACACCCACATGTAATCAAATTTCCTTGTATAATTATCATAATTTTTTATTTTAATTTGATATATATACTTGATCTGCCACCTTTCTCTTTGTGTCTGAAAACCTTCTGAAAAAATCTTCAAGGCTTTATGCTAAGATTCTGAATGTGAAATACAACCTACAATCCAGTTATAAAGGAAGGAAAAACCTTTGAACCAAATAAGTTTATATAACTTGCCAAATATAAATCAAGCAAAACAAAAACAAAAAAAAGAAACTGAAACAGTACAATGTAAAAGTCTTACTGAGCCAAGCCAAATCCAAAGTCAAGTTATAGGGTGTACTACGGAAAGCTGCATCACTGTGGGATTAATAGTTCGTTAAGATCTATCAGATGATGCATTGCCTTGCACAAACTATTCTTGCAAATGATATTCAGAGGGGTTTCGGAAATGGGGGCAGGCTCAAACGATTCTTCCTCAATTTTCTCTGTTTAAGATTGATGACATTGAGATATTAGGTGGCAACTCTCATGACTGCATACATTGTTTTGGTTACCTCTTCACTAAATGGATTTGAGGGTGAGCCGTGTACATGTATCATCGGAAAAAGCGCTGCATGGTCTTATCCGTTTGTCGACCGTTTTGCCAGCTGGATTATGCTTTTCTATCTATGGTTTTTTTCTTTTTAGGGAACTCTCTCTAGAAGATCCATCGAGATGCTTTTGAAAGGAAATTCAAAAAATCAACAAATTGTTTATGGGCAATTCAGATAATCCATTAGTCACATGAGGTTATTTTCAAAACAAGGTTACTCATGCAATATCTCCAAGTGTTATTGCGCTAATTGCAAGGTCTAAAAAAGTTGCAAAATTTAGATGAAGGTTACTTGGATTTCTGATGAAAAAAATAATGCTCTCTTGCACTATATATGGGTGCTATAGAGTAAAGAAAGATCAAATATCAGCTTTTTCTCCAATGAACTTTTTGCTCCATCTGTCAGTAATTTTGCTTAGAATATGTCCGCATATGAATTATGAACTGCTTAGGAATGTCACAATTTCAAATTGTTGAAGAGTTTCACCGTGCCTCCTATTTTCGACAAAGAAATTGACAGCCTCCTTTTGCAAAAGTGCCATTCAATAACACCTATAGAATATTGTTGGTTGTTTACTTGAAATATGAGAAGAGCCTTGTCTTTATTCTGAAATGGACATCAAGAAAGCCATAATTTCTAATCATTGAATATTTCAAACAAGGGTCTGCATTGCAAACTTCCCCATAGTGAATCTAGTTTCTCAAGGATGACCTTTTAATATCTTAAATGGCTACCTGGATTTAAGAAACTAATAGCACTATTTCGTTGGAACAAAAACGACACACACACAGATATATTTCAATGTCTAAAATGGATGCGAATGTTTGAAACATTATTTTTATCATCATCAGAGCTTTTTTCCAACCCTTTGGGAACAACTACAAGAATTCTGATATGTTATTATGCTATATGAACACTATTCTTTTTAGACATGATATATTTGCACACCATTTAAAAAGAGGGACGCAAGAATTTAGGTAGTATTAAACACTTTTATAATAAAATATCAAGAAAAAATAATAAACAGAAGTATTTAGGTTTCTAAAGTGTCAATCAAAGTGCAACCTTGATGTGTCAACACTCGATAATCATGTGATAACTAAATACATCAATTTTTTAAAAGACGTGCATTTTGTTGAGATGGGTACCATAAAAAATTACATGGCTCAAAATACTTTAAGGAAGATGTTCAAGAAATAGTGCCTACAAGCTTTGCCTAGTAAGAATCCATGACCGTTGGATGGTACGAAACCTTTAAAACATGGGCTTATTTTGGTAATTGTCTTTTGGACATGCACCTACCACTTTGAGATTGCGTAATGCTTCACCAGCAATGGACCTTAGGAAACTTTTCTACGTAGAAATTTCTCTAACACACACTTACTCTTTGTTGGGTAGAGAGAGATTGTGCAATGCGAATACATAGTTTTTAATATTTCTGATATGAAAAATTGTTTCATGTGGTTTTTAATATTTCGGATATGGAAAATTGTTTTATGTGGGCTGAACCGCATTTCTATAATATACGGTCCAGAGGCATAAAGCATGGGCGCAAAATAGGTGGTCTATCTGGGACAAGTATAACTAAGGAGTCCAAATATTTTTAGTTTTAAAGTTATTATTGTTTTTCCATATTCATAATCTCTATCTTAAAAATTATATATTTTCTAAAAATTAAAATCAAATTATATTTAAAAAATGTATTTATTGCCGAGCACGAATTTCTAGATATGCGGGGCTGGCTGCATAGAAACCGTGTCCTGATGATATTTCCAACCGTGTTTGTGTCAATTATTTTTAACGCCTCTTTTGCATGAATTCCCTCTAACTTTTACTGTAACTGAATCCTATGTCCTAAAAGATAATCTCCGATGAAAACGAAACTCTCTCTCTCTTATTTGCACAAGTCACCTCTGCACAATTACTGTGCAGTAATCCCGAAGTGCTCAGTAATAACCACCCATCAAACCATAAACTCCTCTCTCTCTCATTTTTAGGAGTCACCTCTGCAATTACTGTGCAGTAATCCCAGATTGCTCAATGATAACTATGCATCAAACCATAAGTACCTCGTCTCTCTATCTATCTCAAAGTAACTCTCTCTCTCCTCTCAAAGTAACTCTCTCTCTCTCTCTATTTCTGGTCGAGTTACTTATTAATCTTTACCGAGAAGGAGAATCGGAGAGGATAAGCACTCCCATGGATTCACCCCCTCCCATTCCAAGCCATTTGCCAATGGCTTGGGCAGGTGTTCTCAGTGCCTTGCACTTGACCCACCCCACTTTTAAATGTGGACTGAGAAGAGAAAAGAGTATCAAAAAGGTGAGGTTCAATTGTTAAATATAGCATTTGGACTAACATTATTTCCAGTATATGACGAAACCTGCTTTGTCTTGATGTGGGTAAGAAAGATACGATTTGTAGAGAGAGTTGGAGAGCCAGGGAGAGAAAGCGATGTATAGAGATTCAGAGTGAAGGTAAGCCTTGGGTAGAGAGAGAGTAAGAGCGATAAGGTAAGTCTTAAGGGTCGGTGGCCCTCACCCATAGCCACATAAAGACACTACAGCCTGTGTGAGATGAGCATGAGCAATTAGAACACACACACACACATATATATATATATATATATATATATATATATATATTATTATTATTATTAGTAGTAGGTAGGTAAGGGAAGGGAACGTAACGTAATAACGGTAAACGTAAACGTTAACTACGTACGACGACGAGGACGTATAGTAGTAGT